TACTTTTTCTTTACTTTCTTTATTTTTCTTGGATTTTTTTGTCTGTGTTTTCTTTCACAGAATGACTTACAAGGAAATGTGTTGCACATGACTACACATATATAACCTATGTCAAATTGCTTGCCTTCTCAGCAAGGGGGAAGGGGGGCAGGGAGACAATTTGAAACACAAAATTTGAAAAAAACCCATTAAAATTGTTTTTACTTGAAATTGGGAAAAAATAAAATATTAAATAAAAAAATTACAAGACCACCTAATATCAGAGCTGGAAAGGGCCTTAGAACACATAACACAGAAAGTCAGAGCTAGGAGGGATCTCAGAGTTCATCCATTGTTCCACAGAACTTTAGAGCCACAAGGGTCCTCAAAAATAATCTAGCCTATCCCCCTCATTTTAGAGGTGAGGCAGCTGGAGTCTGATGAGGTCTTCCCTCTGAACTTGTTAGAAAAACAACCTGAAATTAAATTTACTCTGATTCTTGAATCAGTCTCATCAGCTTCTGCTAGGTTCTATCTATCCAGGAACCAGAGTTTATGGGAAGTGGGGAAAAGGTAGGGAGACTTTAAAATCTTTTCTTTTTTTTGTTTTGGTGAGGAGTGATCTATGCACTTTGAAAATTATGTACTCTCAGTCCCTGTGACGTTGGCAGTAACTTAGGCAAATAACAGTTAGGTGGGAAGGTATATTAGGAACAACAAAAAACTGCCATTGAATAAAAGGATTTGTGATTGGCTGAAAGTCATCCTGGCATTACAAGTGGGAAGAAGGAATAATCATCCAGAATATTTAGCTATTTTGAGCCCAAATCATAGGGGAATGTGTTTTGGGAAGAAAGATACTTCTTGGCAGAAAGGTCATAGAATGGAGACATATTCTCAGACATGGCCAATATATTGTTCTGTTTTACCTAACTATATGTATGCTATGAAAGATCGTTTCTGTGGGGGAGGGGGTGGTGGTTTGTAGAGGGAAGAGAAAGGTGGGTTGATTAGTATTAAGTTATGAGGAGAATGCTACATTTTAGTCATCGAAATTAATTTAACCATAAAATGTCACAAACCATGTTTAGGTGGTAACTGTGCTAAATCAACATGTGATTACTTGAAAGATTTCTTTTAGCACAGACTACTTAACCAAAGGATCTATGTTTAGGCTCTTTCCTTCTTATACAAATGCCCCCAAAAAAGCAGTTATAGTTTGGAGTAAGTTGTCTGAATGGAGTGAAGGAAGGGAAAGGAACAAGTATTTATTAAGCATCTACTGTGTACTTCAAGCGCTAAGCACTTTACAAATATTACCTAAAGGAGGTGAAGAGGGGCTGGGCCCTACAGCAAGTGTACTCAGACACGGAGGAAAGGTAGATTTGTTGGGGGTGGGAGGAATCTTTGCACTAACATATTGAAAGGGCAGAATGCTGAGCTTTCCTGGGCTTAGCTCAGCCCATCCAGAGAGTAACTTTCTTAGTAAACCCACTAAGAAGGAAGCGAAGAGAAGCAAAAGAAGACCAGCCATTTGTAGAGAGGTCTCAGATTTCCTCAGTGATTTTTCTTATTTAGATATTACCAACACCCTAGACCATTCCTACTTCTGCCTAAGTTGGATTCTAGGGAGGCTATATGTTTCCAAAGTTGTGGTATGTTGTTGTTCAGGCATTTCAGTTGTGTCTGACTCTTCATGACCCCATTTGGGGTTTTCTTGGCAAATATACTGGAGTGGTTTGCCATTTCCTTCTCTAGCTCATTTTACAGCTAAAGAAATTGGGGCAAAGAGGATTAACTGACCTCTCCAGGATCACAATAGCTAGTAAGTGTTTGAGACCAAATTTGAACCCAGGTCTTCAAGACTCCAGGCTCAGTGCTCTATTCACTTTGCCACCTAGCTACCCATATGTTTCCAGAGAGTAAACAGCAAAAAAGAAGCATAGATTTGATGATATTCATAGTTTCATAAAAGAGGCATCATAATTTAATGCTTATAAACACTCTGGCCTTTCCATGAAGATCACATCTTTGAACTGATTCAGATTGTAAAGGATACCAGCAGAGTTTTTTTTCCCTAAGATTACATCATCAATTATGTATGTATATACGTATGTATGTATGTATGTATCTATCTATCTATTTATCTATCCACAGCTGTTCCATGTCAGGAATTACCTATAATCAATTATTCACCTAAGGTTTGACTTTGTTCAGTCACTTAGAAAACTTTCAAGTCACTTCCTCCTCCAGCTTATCTCATGTATATTTGTGGGGTACAACCTAATATAAAGCCAAATTTTCCAGCATGTGGATCTGAAGTTTGGAGGTGAAATCAGCCTGCACATAGTAACAATTACTTTGTAGGTTTACACTTGGGTGGAGAATTCATCTGGGCTATTAATTGGAAAATGTTAAAACTGGAAAGTACCTTAGAGATAATCATCCTGAGCTAGCTTCAGGCTCAGAGAGTTTGTGACCTGCCCAAATTCATATAGATAGTTAGTGGTAGAGCTGGGCCTGGAACCCAGACCTCTGACTCTCCATCCTTCTCTCCCTCAAAGCCTCAGAAGGCAGGTTTTGGCTTCTTATGTTTTGGGTTTGGGGAGAGCATAAAACATAATTCAAAAATAAAACCTCATATGTAAAAATCAAATCATGGTGGACAAGAACGTAAGGGGCTGGACTATAAAATAATGTGATTTTTTTCTGCCTGTTCCCTAGTCTGAGAGAGGTTGAGAGAGACAAATGACAAGCCAGTATGAAAAATGTGGAGTCCTGCGGTAAGTACAAATTCAGACCAGTCTCATACCTTCTCTGTGTCTGCCCCTGCATCTACAGGGAGGATTAATGTTCATAATGATACCTGGAAAATAGTATGCATAGCAGACAGTGGATAGATAGTAGCCCTCAGGGTTCATGAAGGCCGGGGTTCAAGTTTAGCCTCTAAAAGCTAGTGGCCATGTGACCAATGGCAGGCCACTTAATCTCTCACTGCCCTAAACAACTCTTTAAAAAAAAACACATGAGGAGGGGCAGCTAGGTGGCGCAGTGGATAGAGCACCGGCCCTGAAGTCAGGAGGACCTGAGTTCAAATCCAACCTCAGACCAAACACTTGACACACTTACTAGCTGTGTGACCCTGGGCAAGTCACTTAACCCCAATTGCCTAAAAAAACCCCCAAAAAACAAACCAAAAAAAACACATGAGGGGCAGCTAGGTGACACAGTGAATACAGCATGGGCCCTGAAGTCAAGAGTACCTGGGTTCAAATCTGGCCTCAGACCAAACACTTGACACTTACTAACTGTGTGACCCTGGGCAAGTCACTTAACCCTAATTGCCTAAAAACAAACAAACAAAAAACCACATGAAAGACTAGTTTCAGACTTATATTGGCATCAGGAGGTCCCTACAGTGAAATCACAGATCCAGTCCAAAAAAAAAAAATGAGAGAACCCAAGTCCCAGTGAAACTTGCAGAGAGATTCACCTCCCTGTTCATTAAGCTTTGCATACTCAGACATAAAGCAGGCAGGATTTTCTACAGCAAGCCCAAAACAAAAAGGGTTTTATGGTGAATCAGCTAAGCTAATCCCGGCTAATGCCCTGGTTACCTAAAGGTTTACTCCCTCCCAGTTAACACAATGCTTAAAACGCTCCTCAGGAAAGCTAATTGGCCTGGTTGAAGGTTCCATACATAATATGTTTTTCAGAACCTTCTTAAATCAGACCATGGAGGCAGTTGTCTACTCAGCCTGCATTGAGGACCAGCTCTAATTTCTCCCTGGCAGATAAAAGTAGTCATTATTATCTGGCTTTGGAATGCTACAGGAAAACCTCAATGAAAATGATGGTGCAGGAACATAGAATAGAGTATTCTGGTTAATTATAACTCATTCATAGAGCACATGCAAAAGCACTTCTCATTTGTGATTGGCCTCATTAATGAGACTCCCAACAACCCTGAGAGATAGGCAAACATTCCAAAAATGGTTATCCCCATCTAATCAACTAAAGCCCAAGGTCACAGAGCTAGTCAACAGCACAGTGGGAGTCAGGATCATAGAATCACAGGTTAAGAATTAACCTTTGCCTTTGGGCAACTTGGATAGAGCACTAGAGCTGGAGTCAGGAGGACCTGAGTTCAAATCTGGCCTCAGACACTTACTAGCTAGCTGTGACTCTGGGAAAGTCACTTAACCCTGTTTGCCTCAGTTCCTCAGTAAAATGAGATGGAGAAAGAAATGGCCAACCACTTCAGTATCTTTGCTAAGAAAACCCCAAATGGGGTCACAAAGAGTTGGACATGACTGAAACAACTCAACAACAAAAATCAGAAGTCCCCAAGTCCCCAACCCTCTCATTTGATTAGGAACTGGGATCTGGAGAGATTAGGAGACTTGACCAAAGACACACAAGTAATAAGGAACAGAGTGTGGATTTGAATCCAATATTATTTCCACTATACCACACTGTCTCCCTTGAACACTGGTCTTCCAAATCCAACTTCTATGCTCTTTCCACCATACTTTATCACTACCATCACAGTCACCCTAAAGGGGTTGGGTGAGGGAGAAGGGTAAAATTTTGGATGAAGGAGAGGAAGAGAGGAGGCTACTCATGGAGAGGGAAGTAAAGGAAGGGACAGAGTCACTGTCACCAAAGTGACAGAGCTTTACAAGGACACTCAGCAACCCTAATTTCTTCAAAATAGGGATGGAAGGAGGGAAAGCAAAAGGACAGGTAAAGGAATTACTAAAGACAAACAGCTCGCTACATAATTCTGCTTCAGATAGAGTAAAAATGGGTGCAAATGAACCTGTCTTCTCTGTTTTCATGAATGTGGATATACCATCCTAAGTGACTTGTTCAATTTGAAAATTATCATTTTCCCCCTCATGTAAAAGGAATATGGCAGGCATCCATTTATTTATTTATTTATTCATTTTTTAGGTTGAGAATGAATGGAGCCAACATCTTTTCTTTTCCTAAAAGAGTTTGAAAGGTAAACCACTCACCAGTTCCTTCCTTAGCCAATGCAAAGCTTCATCAATACTCTCAAAGCTATCCAATTTTCTAGTAGTCAGAGGTGGCTGGTCCTGACTGTTACTTTCATGTAGCTGCTGTTGTAACTTTCTCAGGGGAGGCGACTCCTCTTCTCTGAATTTCCTTGGTTCTTTCTCCTCCTGCTCATCAGTAGACCTAGGGAAATTCCATGTCTGCTCCTCTAGCTTGGCCTGCCATTCCAGGTAGGAAGGCCTTCTAGTCTGCAGCCTCAGTTTCTCTGTGAGGACTTTCAGGCTCAGAAGGTGGTCATCAGGAGGAGGGGTTGCCCCTAAGTACCCTCCTTCTCCACCTACCACTTCTTCTATGTGGATCTGAGGTGTAGCCATCCTACAACCTCCTGGTTCCCCAAAGCATTGAGGGTTGCTGGCAACACAGTGCAGTTCTTCTCCTCCTCTTCTTCCTTCTCCTCAGCCCCAGGCTCTTGAGGTCATTGCCTGGATGATGGCATAGAGGATCCACAGGACTGTGTTGCTGCTGGCCCCTGGAACCAACAAAGAAAAGCACAATAACACAACATAATGTAACTTGCCTTCAGAAATGTGGCTGGGTTGGTCCCAGGTTTAATATCATTCTTGGAGTCTTCATGGTTCCATACTATGCAAAGGGGCAGGAACAGACAAGAGTAAGTAGGAGTCTTTGGAGGAAATCTTTGCCAAGAAGACCCAGAAAGGGTAAGCAGAGCACCAGGCAGTGTTGAAAAGCAAGCCCTCTCTATCTCTACGGGCAGAAGCTGGGCATGTGCTGAAGAATAACCAGGAAGCTCCTTAGTGCCAGGCAGGAAGCTCTGCTAAGGTGCCTAGTGCCTGGGGCACAGGAATGAGTATGCAGGTTAAGCAGTGGTTCCAGTGTGCACACAGGAGCTCAAGAGTTTAACAGAAGGATTCCTGGGATGCTGGTACAAAGGTAACAATTCAAGATTTATGCTATTCTAAGGGGCACCCTCATAGTAATCAAACCAACCCTCCCTTTTCTAGAAAGGACGTGTGAATTAATTGCTCTATGACTCCACTCATCATGTCTATGACATGAGAGACCAAAACATCCTTCCCTGGCCACCACTCTCCTATATGTGTTGTCTTCTTCTGTTAGAATGTAAGCTCCTTGAAAGCAAGAAATATCTTGATTCTTGTATTGGTATTCTAGCACTTAGGGCAGCAGCCAGCACCTAGGAAGCACTGAATAAGAGCTTTTTAAAAATTCATTCATTCATTCATCCATTCATTCACCCATTCACTTGTCCATGGTATGCCCTATCCCATATTAGTCTCAGCCAAACTAACTCTGTGGTTTTTAATGTGGGGTTCATGGACCAGATTTCAAGGAGGGGGGTCCTGCAAATTTGAATGGGGAAAAAATATATATATATATATATTTTCACTAATCTTGAATTGAAATTTAGCATTTCCTTCAGTTATGAATGTAAGCAACAAACATTATTCGGAGGAGGGGTTCCCATGGACTTCACCAAACTGCCAAAGGGGTCCGTGATATAGAAAAGGTTAAGAACTATAGCCCTGAACCCAAATATGACCTCTCTCAGCACCCCTGTGCCTTGGCTCACACTTTCCCTTATGGCTGGAATGTCCTTCCCCATCTTTCTCTGCTGAATCTCTATCCATCCTTTACACTTTCAGCTCAAATTCTACCTTTTCTAGGAAGCTTTCCTGGATCATCCTGAGGGTCATGGGTCCCCCTCCAATCTCAGATCAAGCTTTGTTTTGCATCTTTGTAGTGCATTTGTCATTTAACATCGTGTTTTACAGCTCTCTGTGCTGATGTCTCATCTGCCTGCCGAACTGAGTCCCAGGAAGTAGGGAGCATGTCTTTTTGAAGTTTTTACCTCACCCCTTCAGGCCCCCCTCCAGCAACTCAATGCTCTGCACAGGTGGGTGCTAAATACATGTTTGTTAGTCTATGGTATTGCCTGCTTCATAAGTTTATTGTTGATGCTAGACATTTTTCACTTCCTACTACCTGTGGCAAGTAGATGTGAGCTTCTGTAAAATGATCTGCCTCTGGGGGAAAAACAAGCAAAACCCAAGATGGGGAGCACACATTTAAGCTTAATTTGCATTATTGACAAGTTTTCTGTCACTTTCTTAAGTCTAGACAATCAAGGAAACACTAAATCAAACCCTGGTTTGCAGCATTTGCAATGTTCACACTGAACATTTAACAATCAGCTTCAAGCCAGTTGGAGTTGGCTCCAGCACATGACTGGAGGCATCACCTTGTTCTGGCTTGTCCTCTGCTAAGGAAAAGGAGGAGGTGTTTTCAGCCATAAGGAGAAAGAGTTGAATGTACTCAGGAGTTTACTGCTACCCAGAGTAATTGTGACTCACCTATTTGGGAGGCAATTTCTGTGTTTACCTTTGCAGTACCTTCCTGCAGGGCACTTTGTTTGGGTGATCTCATTTGCCAGGAAGGATAGATTTGATTCCTATTTTATAGCATGAGAGGCCAGTACACAAAATAGGAATGTGAGCCTGTCTCTGGTCCATAATTAAACAAAGTAGAGGGCCTAGGCATTCAGAATTTCATCCCCCTATTTATTCTCTGCCTTTGAGCAAGAAGAAATGGGATGAAATTAAAACAGGAGATTAATTGAGTGGATCATGAGAAAGACTTTGTCATAGTAACAGGAACATTGGGCTATGGATGTCCTTTGTCTATAGGCTCTCAAGAGGAGACCAAACAACCCTATTTCCTGATGGCTAATACATTCACCTACCGGAAGACAGAACCTCAAGGCTTTCTTAACGTCCTTTCCCCATCTCTGCACCCTAACTCTTGCTCTGAGTTCTTCCCGGTAGATCTGGGATTTTATTTTTTCTGTCTAATTTAAAAGGAGTAGATTCCACCATCTGGACAAATTCAGAGTGTCTGAGGGATGTAGTAAAGACAGCATTGGACTTTGAAATCAGAAGACCTGGCTCAAAGTCCTGTCTCTGCCACATAAATACCAGCGTGTTTGAACGATTCATTTTAACCTCTTTGGGCCTCAGTTTGCTAACCTGTAAAATCAGGATAATAATAAAATACTACTCCACAGGGTTGTTAAGCAGAAAGCCCTTTGGAAACCACAAAGTGTTATATAAATATGAGGTCTTTGTAGAGGTATAACTAGCATTTCTCTCACCTGGACAAGTAGTACAAATCGACTGAACACAGATGCCTTTGGAGACAAGGAGACTTCAACCTTGGGACACAGAACCCTTTGGAAATGGGAGCATTCTGGCATCCCAGCACACCATAAGGCAAATATTAGGCAGCAATGTGGAGGGAGGGAAGCTTAAGAAGAGTCAGCCCTAGGTATGCCTTTAGGGGGGCAGGGAAGGATGGTAGCTTGCTATTTTAACTAATTACTCCTTCCTAACCAAGTGCCAATGATGGGGTATGGGCTCAAGACACTCCCCCCCCAAAAAAAAACCCCTTCCTTGAGCCTTATTTAAACTTTCATCTGGTCGGGGAAGTCTAGTGGTCCCCTGAGGTTATTCTTATTCCTGTTAATTGGCTCTTCCTTGGCACCTGCACCCAGTCTCCCAATTCTTTGTTACCCTAGTTAAGCCTACCCCTCCATCGTCTATTGCTGGCCTGGTGGCCCTGGTTTATCCCATCCTTGATCTTGTCCGAGCCAATTCAGCCTCCCAGACACTCCCATCGGGATTCTCCCAGGACCCACCCCCAAGTCACCCCAGCTTCAAGATCTTCCCCAAACTCCTCCTCCAGTGCAGACTGCTCCCATCGGGATACCCCTTCTCCCAATCACCCCGGGCTGCTTGGCTGCTCCTAGATCCCTCCCATGGTCTTTTTGTATATAAGATCCATCCTTGCTACCACTTAGGGGCTGAGACTTCCTTATGCCTACTCATCCTTACAGGCGTCACAAATGTGTTGACTCCTTAAGAGTCTGGCCTATATGGCTCATCTTTAATAAACCTTGTCTTTGGCTGAAAGAAGGCTTGAGTCGAATTCTTTTGGACAGGACCCGCATGTTGTGATATCGGGGTCCCAGCACCCCTAGCACCTAGACCTCTACACCAAGTTCAATTGCTCCCACCTACTGAGACACTACAAGTAGCTCTAAATTTCCTTACTTTGGTTCAAAACTCCAGCTGCTTTTACCACTACCATAGTAGTGGCTCAAGACATTTTAAAACCAGAATTCTCAATCCAAAAGAAAAGATGGCCTTGTTCTAGAGCATCTCCCAGTCATTCCCTGCCTTTACCCAAATCTTTCCTTGAAGCCCTACAGGATGTAGTGGGTGGAGTTACTCATTGTGTGTGTTAGCTACTCAACTCCCACGGGGGTTCCGTAACACTGAAGTCATAACTGTAATTCTTTCTTTTTTTTTTTAACTGTAATTATTTCTACCAAATCCCTTTGAAGAAGATGCGATTTAATTTTTTTTTAAATGTAGGATAGACTTTGTTCCCCTTTTGTGAAGAGATAAAGAAGAATGGAAGTTGAGATGCAGTCAAGTGTACTTTACACATCCCCACAGAGAGTGAGTGGGAAGCAAAGAATTATGTTGTTGGAATCTCCATAGATCTCATAGTCTGAGTGGTTTCCCCACAGTGCTCCTTGGGAATGGGTTGTTACTGTCCCTCTGTGTTTGGGAGAAGCCAAGAGAGTCAGAGAGCTGTGCATTCATTACTGGTTTCTAATTGTGACACTCAGTTGGCAGGGTGCCTGTCTTTCTGAATTTAAATTCTGTAAGGCATTGAGAGGTGCAGACATAATAGCTTAGGAATAGACTGAGCCACTCTGGGGCTCTGAGTGTCAATCTTGGTTACTGACCCATTTGTTATTAATATCTATACCCTAGGGCTCTTTCAGATCTTTCCTAGGAAACCCTCAATGGCTAGGCAGTTTGGGTGACAGATCTACAAAATTCTAAGTCAAGCAATTTTATTTATATGGTAACCTCTCTGAACCTCAGCTTCCTCTTAGGTTTGTGAAAATCATATGAGAAGGTGCTTTGAAAATCTGTGGATGGCTTTGAAAATGTGACACATTTTTAATAATATCCATTTTTATCAATAGATAATAGTGTCAATGAGAGGCAGTGTTGAGAAAGCCAGCCTCAGAGTCAGGAAGACCTGAGTTCAAGTATTGCCTATGAATACATACTGGCTATTTGACCTTGGACAATAACAAGCATTTATATAGTGCTTTCAGGTTTGCAAAACTCATTACAAATATTATTTCATTTGATCTTCACAATGACCTTGGGAGGTAGATGCTATTATTAATTATCCCCATTTTACAGATGAGCAAACAGGAAGATAGAGGTTAAATGATTTGCCCAGGATTACCCTTAGCACCCTTCTAGGGTGAACATTTGTTGAACTCTCTCTGAGGGCCAGGTGAAATGAGTTCTAATAGAATTTGCTGAATAGAATTCATTGATATTAATCTTCTGGTGCCCAGGTCATTAAGGCGAGTAAACACAGTGAGAGCACTTGACTCTCCTCTTC